TGCCACACACTGCTGTTCAAGGAAAATGTGCACCAAGTCAAAGCAGACACTTATTCCTGGAGATGAGTAAGGGGCTTTCCCGTCACCTGAACGCAGGCTGGTTGATACGGGAGGCTGAGACAAGGGGGCGGACCTGCATCGTGCGGTCTCTGCTCTCCTCTCAGCAAGCCTGACGCTTTCTGCTCATCCCTAAGCAGGCACATCACACACACCACAGACCAGCTGCCCAGCTGCCCACACGTGTTCCAATGCAAAGGTGTGCGGAAGGGCCATGCTGCTGTGCACAAATGCCACTGTGCTGCTGCCAGTGTGTCTGGCGTGGTGAGAGTGATTCACTGTTCAGAAAAAGTGCTGACATGATCTACTGCTGAAAAGATGTTAGGAGAAATAAACAATCACCTAACAGATACCTAAAAGATATTTAACAAAATTCCGTGCTGATACCTCATTTCCTGAAGCCTTACTAAGTTAGGAATCACAAATTGACATGGTAAAGGTACCTACTGAAAAGCAACAGCAAATGTCATACTTAACAGTGAAACCCTGCAAACAGTCCCACTAAGTCAAGAATAGAGGGCTCATTAATGCGGTTACACACCATTCTAGACTCCCATCTGGTAAAAAATATAATGAAGTGCAAGTTAGAAATCAAGAAACAAAGTATTGATTCAGGATCAGATCACCTCAGTGGAAAACCCAAGATAATGGAAAAACTGCCAAAGACCTAAGACAGTGTAACCAGGGAGCAGTGACTGACCAATGAGTGTGAACTGCAGGGACCTCTAGGGCCGGGAGGCCGCACCCCCACGTGGGAGGGAAGCAGGGCCGACATCAGGCCTGGGCGCTGCTCCCCAGCCACAGATGCCAGGCCACCGCACCTCTCCTCTCCTGTCCGCTCTGGAAAGGGAGAGGGATTGCAGGAAAAAGGGCAGACGGGGGCCTGGCGGGACAGATGCAAGGAGGGGGGGTGCGGGGGCAGAGGCGGGATGGGAAGGTAGCCCGGGCAAGCTCGCCTGCGTCGGGGGGTTCGGGGAAGCTTGGGGACTGACTGGAGGGCGAGGAGCTCTGGGAGCCCATCATCCCAGTACCCAGAGTCACAGATGTGCCAGATGAGGACCCGCTAACAGTGGGAGAATCCGTCACCACCAGAAAAAGTCATTTGGGCAGAAGGAAAATGACAGCACATGGGACGCGGACCTAGACAAAGAAAGGAAGTGCGCCGGAGACAGCAACTTCAGGGTGAGTGCGCTGTTTTTTTTTATAACCTAAATCCCTTTAAAAGATCACTGACCATTTAAACTAATACCAATGCACTGTGGGGTCTGAATATGGGTAGAAATAAAACGCACAACAGCAGCGTAAAGCAGGAGGGTATAGTTTCCCAGACACGTGAGGTTGTATGTGAGCATCTGAAGGGTTGAACTGATAGGCAGAAGATGAATACTATAAACCCCAAATCAACCCCTAAAACAGTGAAATAAAGAATTATAGCTAATGAGCCAAGAAAGGAGGTCAAACAGGACCATGAGGAGTTTTGACTGGGACCCCATTCTGGAATGACAGCAAAAGGGGCCCACAGATGGCTCTCCAGCAAAACTGGTGACAACTGTTTTAACACATTTACAGTCTCTGAAAATGGCCCTGAGGACAGACAGCAAATGAGGAAGTGTTCGCTTGAGAATGCCTACTAGCCCCGAGTAACGGTGAGCCTGTGGCACCAGACCCAGGCCTGCCCCTCGTCCTCCCCACAGGGACCACAGCAGCTGGCACTCTGATTCCCGCACCCCCCACCCCAGCTTCTCCTGGGAGGGGCACACATCGCATTTCTCACCCCGACTCCACATACCTGTGGCTGAAGGTGAGTCCCAGGCAACTGTGGCTGAGGCTGGCTCCCCTTCCCACCCAGCCCTGCTCCAAGCCAGAGGCTACCTACCGAGGGTGGCACCACCAGGAACTCCAGCCCCATCCCCTTGCCCTGAGTTGTGGGGCAGGGGTTCCACGCCTGGAGACATGGGGTGTGTGCTACAACATGAGCCTTAAAAACATTATGCTAAATGAAAGGTGGTTGTCACAAAAGAGCACATATTATATATCTCATTTGTATGAAATGGACTCTTACCTCATATTGTACACAAAATGGGTCAAAGAGCTAATGTAAGAGCTCAAATTTAGGCAGATTTTTAGACAGAAAGTAAATTAGTGGCTGTGTAGGACTGAGGGGAATGGAGCATGGAGGGTGATGATTAAAGGGTACGGAGTTCCTTTTTAAGGTGAAGCAAATGTTCTAAAATTGTGGTGGTGGTCGCACACATCTGTTAAACTAAAAACCACTCAATTATATTCTGTGATGGGTGACTTGTACAGTATGTGGTATCACAAGCTGGCATAAAAATATTTGAATAGTACAAAAGAGGGAAGAAAAAGAGGAAAGTGGAATAAAGAACAGATTTAACTTATATACTAATAGCAAGAAGACATGCAAAGCTAATCATATCAGCAATCACATTAAGCATAACTAGTGTAAACAGTTACAAGGCAGAGATCATCAGACTGGATTAAGACAGCAACATCTATATGCCATCTATAAGAATCTGTAAGGGGGGAGTACACTTTAAATTATAAAGACACAAATGGGTTAAAAGTAAGATGGAAAAGTTGTACTACGGTAACACTAACCAAAATAAAGTCAGAATAGTTAATATTAATATTAAACAAATAGATTTCAGAGCAAAGAATATTACCAGAGATAAACAGGGTTATTTCATGATGATGAAGGGGTCAATTCTTCATAGCAATGTTAAATGTTAACAGAGTTTTCAAAATACATAAACTCAAAACTGACAGAACTACAAGGAGGAATAGGCAACTCTAAAATTAGAAATTTAGGTTTTCTGGGTTCTTAGTAAGTGGTAAACTTAAGTATTTCTCAGGATCCTTTTCACTAGGATTTGAACAAGGAATTATTTAAGTACATCAGTTGATAAATATTACAGTTAAATAATAAGCTAAACATAGTCACTGACCTCCTCGGGGAGAAGGAGAATCATGCCCTCCAATGACCACGAGGATCCCGGAACCTTCTAGCTTCTCTTTCCATTTTTCAACGATAGTCATAGACTTGTCCTGAAAACAGGAGGGTGCTGGCAGGTCAGTCAAGCGTGACTTTCCCTGGGGCACCCTCATCAACAGTAGTGCACACATACCTTGCTGGCATCGTTGAAAACTGAGAGTTCCATGGAGCCTTCAAAGTCCTGCTGCAGAACAGACCTCAAGCACTCGTCCAGCCATGGCTCAGCATTGTGGACTGGGAGGATAATAGACTGGGATGCGAAAGAAACGGGCAAACACACATTAGAGTGGACAACAAATTCCCTTTCCACCACTCCCACTCGCTTCACCGTTACGACCTCCACAGTGCTCAGTTCCAATGGGCAAGGCCTGATGTACAGCATGATGCAGAATAAGGCTTCTGGGGAGAAAATACACCCTGACCATTAAAGGGTCTGAGTCCCTCTCCCCAAGCTCTTGACTTTTTCATCGTGAGATTTATTGCATCTTAGATTTCTTTGACTTGGACTTTTAGATACCTTTGAAAAGGAAACAAGAATCTGAAAGGCATCAAATTTTTCCCAATTCAACAGCAAATTCATGTGTTTTCCAATCACTGGTCAGAAACATATTTTTGGTTGGAAGAACCATCTGTTTATTTCCCAGCCCACTCATGGATATAACTGGTCCTTTTCTTGGCAGGATAAGCATTTTCAGTAAATCATGTTAGAAAAACTGCAAAAGAAACCCTTTTAAGTGCCCTTGACACATGATGTAACAAGGAGGAGGCGACCTCCTACATTTCTTCCTCTCGTCTCCCTGGTGTAGGACAGCTCGCTGCGGTCTTTTGCTCACAGAGCCTAGGGAAAAACGGTATCTCAAGTGTGCGGGAGTAAAACAAGTGAAACCTGACTGCCAACAAACTGATTACAGGAATTGGCTTAATTCTGTCAATTACCACATTAAACAGTTCAGAATACCCGAAGTTACAAATTAGTCTGTCCTTAAGTTTGTATCTTAATGAAAACGAGTGGATGTAGTCCTAAACAAGAAAACAAACACAGGCCATCCAGGCAGGTTTGTGTGTACATACATGCACACGTGTGCAGACGAACGCGTGTGCGTTCTATATCTATAGAGAATAAAGACAGGATTTTAAAAATACTAAATCTGGATGTGGTTATGAAAAGCTCATAGGTAAGAGTATTGAAAATATAATTCACTCAAGTTCTCCTGGTATCTGGTCAACAGTGACATCCCTTCCTGAATTTGTTGGCCACAAAGTAGCCCCTAATTTACTTGCGTATCTCCCATACTTTGGAATTACTTTTTAAAGGAAAGAGTATTTTTACTCTTCACAAGATCTGTAATACAAAAAGATAATGTGAATTTCCGTCAAAGATGTGCCTGGATGAATCTCTGTCCGCACTCTCGCAGGTGATCCGACATTGCTCTGGGCAGCGACCTTTGCAGGCAAGCCCGCAGGGCCGCGCAGCTAATGACCGAGGGCGGGGAGGACGGGGGAGGCGAAAGCGCGGGAGAGAAGGGAGCTGGCCTTGGGGGATGAGGTGGGGGGCAGGAGAGACAGCGGCGCGCACCAGGGAGGGGGCGGCCGGGCACCTACCACGCGGGCGGGATCCCCCCGGGCAGGCATGGCCACGCGCTCCTCCAGCCGTCCGCCTACCCCCGCGTCGGCCAACGGCGCGTGCGCTTAGCGGGAGCCGCCGGGAGGCGGGGCCGGGAGCCTCGGATTCGCGCAGGGAGCTGTGGCCCGGCGGGCAGTGGAGCGGCGCGGCCTAGAGCGGCCGGAGGTCCGGGAGCGCCGCCGCGGGCTCCCAAGTCCGGTCCCTCGCCCGGAAGTCCGTTCCCCGTGCTTCGGGGCGTCATCACCGCGAGCCCTGCTTCGGACGCATGTCCGGAAGTGCTGACGCGGTGGGGGCGGGCGGCGCGACCGGAAGCCAGGTCCTGCGCCTGTCGGGGCGGGTGGTGTCCGCGCGGATCGTCGCCCTCCACGGGCCTCCGCGCTTGTCCCTGCTGGTCTGAGCCGGCGGGCAGGCCGCCGGGAGCAGGTTAAGTGTAGGGCGCGCTGCGCGGAGCCACGGTCCTTAGGCACCGCGTCTAATGCGATTTTCCTTCAACAGCATCGGTATTTGCAAAGCTTGTGCAAGTTGTAGCTCTTCGGTTAGATGAGTACAATCGTGACTTTATTTGCAGTGGGACAAACGGAGTTGAGGATCCGAGCCCAATATTCTTAGAGGTTAGTGCATTAGGCATATTTCATCTTAAATGATGTGGTGAAAAGTGGGTTGTAGCTGTCGTCGGAATACCCGCAGCCTTAGAGGCCGAGTAGCCAGGGGGCGGAGGAGGTGCGGCCGCCGAGGTCAGGACCGGGCCCGATGCCTTGCTGCTGAATTTCTGCTACCAGAAATTTGCTTTCCTTCGCTTTTCCCCAGAGAACATTTGTTTAGAATCTGCTGCTTGCAGAATCCAGAGTTACAGGGGGCACTTCGGATATGCAAGGCTTGTGGCTGGCGGGGGCTGAGTCTGACCCCGCACGATGGGAACATCCCAGAGACCTGGCCCCGGACCGAGGCGCCTGGAGAGGGAGGCAGGGAGGATGAGCAGAGGGATGGGAAGGTGAGCCAAGCCACAGGCACCCGCAGGGGGGACGCGCGGCTCCACAGCTCTGGCGGGCCAGTGGCATCTTTTCCTTCAACTATTATTTATGCTGATTGGTGAGCACTGGTTGTATTCAGAAGACCCGGTGCCAACATCCAGGGCCTCCAAATTTTAAAATTGCCCAGCGGTCCTCTTGAACACTAGTGTGGGAGGCAGAGATGTGGCACAGGTCTGGGCCCCAGAGTCAGAATGGCTGCCGGTAGATTTCAAGCCTTAATGAGAGCCCGGTGTTTCCCGACAGCCCACACTGCATCCTTGCCAAATTTCTGATGGGATGAACCCCATAGAGCTGCAGCTGGACCTTCCTGGACAGTAGGAGCCGCCCACCACTGTGGCATACGGCACGTGCAGTGGGGGACTGGTTGCCCGTGGTGGCCGGGCACCTGATGATAACCATCACGAGGGAGCAGCTGGCCATCGAACAGGTTGTTTGCCAGGCACTGGTGTCCCCTTTTCTACTTTATTTTTAGAGGCTAATCAAGACTCACTGTGTTGATTTAATGGTTCATTAAAGAGTTGGAACCCATGCTTTTTTGGAAAAGCAATTCTCACGACAGGAGGCCCAATGTGCATGTGATCATGTGAGTTCCACATTTCAGTAGCATAAATTCCTAGAATTCGAGCCTGTTTGAGTTCTAATTGCTACAAGAAAATGCCCCAAGACTCTGGCTCATTCTTTGTCTCACCCACCAGTATTCTGGGCACATGGTCTGTGCCAGACCCAAGTCAGCCCCTGGGTACAGGGTGCCCCAAACCCCATCTCTGCCTCCCACAGCCACACACGCAGGGTTAGACAAGCAGTGTGGGATCCGGAACAGCGCCCTGAGGGAAGAGCCTGACAGTGGCACCCACCGCTTCTTCCCTAGGCCCTCAGCTTCCCTGGGAGGGCTGCCCGGCAGTTCAGCCATTCTCTTTAAGAGTGACCCAGCTCTCAGCCACCAGCATGTCCTACCTGCCCCCTCGCCACAGGCATTGATTCAGATGGCCCCTGTCCCGTGGGCAGGCCTCTGGGAAGAAAGTCACTGAACTGCAGGGTTGGGACAGAAGGCACCTTGGAGCCAGCCCCGTCCAGGCCTCAGTTCTGAGAGCTGGCACATCCCCATTTCTGTTTAAGCTGCTGGGCTGGCTTTTCCCTTGTTCACGACCACAGGTTCCTGGGGAACACAGCCTTGCCGGGAATGGGGAGTATCCTAGGCTCAGGGGTGGCTGAGTGAAGCCCCAAAACTGCAGGCAGCACCCCATGGACAAATGGGCTGGAAGGTAGCAGAACATGCCACCCCAAAATTTGCCACTTTGGCTAAAGGATTATTTTGAGGTGAGGGTAGTTGAGAAGCAGCAGATATAAGAAAATTTCTCTGCCCTCTATTTGCCTAAAAGCAGGACATGAATTTGTGAAGATGTCCCTTGCCCTTTCTGTAGGACAGGACAACTCCAGATCCTGATCAGCACAGAGAGGACTCAGTGGACACTCCTTACTGACAAGCCCCTATCTTCCATTGGCTCCCCATTTACCTTCCCACAAGGAAGCCCAAAGTCCTTATCTTATGTCTTGTTACTTCTCTATTTGCTACGAAGAAACTCCAGGACTCCTTGTATTGTGCCCTTGTTAAGATGCGATGTAAGTCCGAGTACTCACCACCTCTTCACAGAGCCCTCTGTGTGCCTGAGATGCATGCTCATGGACTTGTTTCTCTTGTTAACTGTCAGTCTGATTTACAGGGTGCAGCCAGAGAGCCAAGGAGGGCAGAGGAGGAAGGCCGAGTGTCCCCTGTGGGCCCAGGCCCAAGGTGGTGTCACAGGCGGGTCACGGGTGGAAGAACTTGTGGAGAGATGGTAGTGTCCCACAGACCTGACGTCACATCTCAGGAAGGGTAGGACAGCATGCATGACTACAGGGAGCATCAAGACCCCGCTCGGCGCCTTGCCCATAAAGCACACAAAATGTTTGCTGAGTGAGTAACTAACGGAAGCCATTGTTCTACCAGTCGGCATTGTCCTAACATGGACCAGGTTATCAGTACTCTTGAAAGAGGAAAATCCCACTAACTAAGCATTTCCTAAATGCCAGGCACCTTACAGACACCTAGTGAACGCCCAGCACGTGTGACTGACTCAGTCACTGGGTCAGCGCAGGCAGCAGTGAGAGTGCCATCACAGGAAGCATTCAGCAGCTGAGCAGACGTTTGGAGTGGCTTCGAAGTGAGCATTTGAGTAGCACATAGAACGTTTGCCTTGGCCCAGAGAGCAACCTTTGCAGTGGGTTTTTGTTACCAGGAGAGGGAGCCAGGGCCAGCATGCTGTGTTGAGGGGTCCCCGTCATGGGCAATTGGGACTGGTCTCCTGGACCTTCACTGAACTCCAGAGAGTCACCACTGGCACAGGAAGGAGGGAAGCCTTTACCCTCAGGCCTGTCATTTGGGGCCTCCCCTTGGGGAATTTACTTCCCGGACTCTGGGTGGTGACTGCGGGATCCTACAGGTGTCCCCAAGCCCCGGGGTGTGCAGCACACTGTAGGCCAGGTGAGACTTGCCCAGATGGGTGTGCGGCAACCCCACCTGGAATCAGAACGAAGAAGACTGAGGAGGCTGTGGGAGAGGCCAGAGGAGCCTGGTGTGAGTTCGGAGGGCAGATGGAACTCCAGCTGCCATGCTGCAGTTTGCACATGTTCATCGCTCTGAAGTGACTTAAGCCAACTGCTCTCCAAATTCTGGATGACAGGTGCTGAGCATCTGAGACGGAGACTGTCAAGAGGAGGGTCCCGGGGGCCTGTCAGACATCTTCCTGACGCTAATGGAAACGTGCCATTGGGGGAGAGGGCTTGAACCTGTGTCTGACAACTCGGTGGAGGAGTGGGAAGCCAGAGGTCTTGGGGGTGACCTCAGCACTTGGAGTGAGGCCTCAGGGGAGGCAGCCAGTGGTGTAGCGAGGGTCACCATCACTGGGGTGGGGCCTGGATGGGACACTAGCCGGGAGTCCCCCTCAGGCCGCCTTGGCAGTCTCAGCTCCCTGAAGTGAAAGGCCGCACAGACCTGACCCGGCCTTGCAAGTCGATCTCAGCTAGGTGGCCACAGGGAGGCCAAGTCTGGTCAGTGGCATGTGCAGGGAGGCTAGCAGTCCAGGGCCACACTAGTCTAGCCTCTGGACTCTGCCATGTGCTGGCCAGGCAGCGCTGGGTACGTTTCTGCCACTGTGCCCACATGAGCATCCTTTTCTCATCCCAAAGCAGAGGCCTCACTCATCTGCCAGAGTTGGTGAGTGTCCTGGTCAGCGCGGGAACACTGGCCATCACAGTGGGTTGAACTAGCTGTGGGTGGTCGGCCCCCACCCCTTCCTCTCTCTCCAGCCAACCAACCAACAACAAAATCCATGTGTGCCACGTTTTGTGGACTTCTGTGTTGGCTCTACACATTCGTGTACACACATGGGACCCAGATGTAATGTGTTTCTCACTGGCCATTGGCATATATCTGGGAATCACTGGTCTGTAGTGAGGGATGGGATGCTGTTGGCACAGGGAGACCCTGGCGCCCACAGGGGATTCACAGAAGGCACCTAGATTTGGGGCTGGGTTCCGGAGAATAAAGTCTCATCCAGCAAGAAAAGGTGCAGGGTGGGGTTGCTGGGGGTGCCCCTAGAGAAGCCATGTGCATCTGTGTGCTCCTGGGTGGGTGTGGGTGAAAGAGGATTGGTACTGCTGTAGAAAGGCTGTGGTGGTGGGCACCTTGGTGAAGGCAGAGCCCCTAGTGCACACCCGGGCAGCCCCTTCAGGACCTGCCCAACTGGTCAGTCAGCAGGGCTGGATGCAGTTCAGGTGAGCATGTGCAGTTGCACCCAGGCCCAGTCACCCATGCTGTGCCCTCCAGGGAGGAGCCCCCCTGCCTGCCCACCCATGGGCCCTCACGAGGCCTCACAGGTTCTTGCAGGGTGCAGGGGAGCACAATGACCATTCAGCCATTTCCGTAGAAACACATATCCTGGGTTCTAAAAACCTGAGAGAAGAGGCGAGCATGACCTGGTCCCAGTGCATCCTTGGTGGGAGGCATAGCCCAGCCCTGCCTTGGGGTCAAGAGTAGCCAGTGGGCCCTACACACCTGCTGTGCCTCCTAGGAGTCCCACACCAGGAGCCGGACCTGAAGGCTCACGGCCCTGCACCTGCCCACCCTGTCCAACCACTCCCCCACCTGCTCACCCCCTGCCTAGTGCCCAGGAGGCAGGTGTGTCCTAGGGCCAGGGTGAGGCAATGTCCAGCAGTGGGACTGGCCCCAGTGGTCTCCCATCTATGGGCAGAGAGAGTTGGGTGAAGACAGGAGGGACACACTGCAGCTGCCCCTCCCTGTGAGGAGCCACTGTGCCCTCGGCCTGTTCTGTGCATCCTGCCTCCCAGGTCACCAGGTACCCAAAGGCGGCCACCAAGGAGTAAGTGGCCTATATCTGAAATTTCTCCGCTCCCCAGGGACAGCCACCACCTGACCCCCGGTGTTGCCTCCCTGGACCCCAGGATCTGAGCTGCATCTCAAAGCTCCCTAAACTGGCTTTTGCTGGGAGACATTCCTGCATGGATCTCGGGCTCCTCTCTGCCCAGCTGGGCATGCCAAGAACTCAAAGCCCTAGGCTCTGGCTACCTGGGCCATTACCTGAGCAGCCTGGGGAATCAGGTGATGTTGTCCTCCCCGAGGTGTAGGAGGCTCTCCTGGTATGTGCTCGGCTCTCCTGCACTGTCTGTCTGGGCCCTCGTCGCCCTAGGGGGTGGTGCTCAGACCCTTGCACACAGCTGACCCTCTGGTCTCTGCCTTTGTTGAGTAATGAACTACTGCGACCCAGGAACCCTGTGGGAATGTGCAGGCCATCCTGCTGGCTGGATGTGGAGTAACGCCTCTGACCCCTTCTCAGTTCTGGACAGCCCCCTGCAGGCACTGTGGAGATGGGGGTCCTGCCGTTGTTACTGCCTAGGCTGTGGCTACTACCGACCATCTTGTCCCCTCCAGGGGTCCAGCTCTGGGCCCCGTCTAGCCCGAGTCCTAAGCTAGAAAAGCAAGGAAAATCAGCATGTAAAACAGCCTGTGTTGGGGTGCAGACACAGATGCGTATTTATCTTTGTACAGGCCACACTTGCCCCAGCTTGCCTGGCAGGCTCTTGTCCACTGCAGACTCGCTGCAGCGGCCGATGCAGGACTAGGATGGGAGGCCGGGAAATGAGGGGAATAGTTACAAGACGGGCCTCGGTGAGCTCAGCTAGCTGCCCTGAGCGAGGCAGGCTCAGATCCCGACTCCAGGGTGGGCGGGGCGAGCTGTCAGCACGTGACCCAGAGTTGGGAAGCAGGGTCCCACATGCGGCGGAGCTCACGGGTCCTGCTCACCCAGTACCGTGGAGCCTGAAATCCCTGCAGTGTGTATTGCTCCCCTGGGAAGGTAGCTCCACGAATCTGCAGGCTTGGCCCCCCAAAGCCCTCGCGCGCAGAACGGCAGCTTATGGTAGGTTCAGAAGCGAGTGAGGGCGTGTGGGGTAATGTACCCTAACCAAATCTAGAAAGTAAGGGACTGTCTACACATAGATGTGGTTAGAGACCTAATAACATCGAAACAACTCAATTTTCAAAAGCCTTTTCACTCAATTCGATGGTAGGTGTAGAAGCTGTCACACACCAGGTGTGTACTGTCTCAACTGCTGGTTTGGGTCATCTGGTGGTTTTGATTGGTATGGATGGTAAAGTGAGGTGGTATTTCAGCCTGTCCCAAAGTTTACATTGTCCGGGTCCGTGTTCCCCGGGAGGGGCTGCACACCACCGGTGGCCCCCACCCTGCCCCACATCCGACCTTGCACGTGTTTGTTGGCTTGAGAGCGTTTTAAATGTCAGGAAATTCCACACAGTATATGGATTCTGGCTTTGCTTAGCGCTGTCCCTTCCCGGGGATCCTCGTCGGGGCTGAGTAGGGGCCATTTTTTCAATTCCCTGCCCCATTATCCCCTGGACAAGTGAGTGAATGGGATGAAATCAAAGCTGAAGATTGCTTCTTGCTCCTCACAGGAGCCCCTAGCTTGCCTGGGGAGTTAGGTCCATGAGTTCTGCCGGCTTGTCCCTGAAGCCCCCAAGCCCAGAACAGCAGTCCTGGTCTTAGCATGACCACCCCGGTCCGTGCCTATGTCTGCACAGGTCAGGTTTCTTCAGAGGCAAGAGAGTGGCCTCACCTCCGTACATGTTTTAGACTTTTAGTATCTGTTAAAATGGATGGAACCCTTAGCAAGTAGGAACCAGTGTAATTCTTTGAAAGCAAACTCAACTATAGGAGTGATTTAAAACATGCCTTTGAGGGCAAGTCCAGCATTTTCACCCCTGGCCGTAGTGCTTCATGAGCTGATACAGAATGAGAACGAGCACAGACTTTGGAAGGAAGGCATGCTCCCCCAAAACACCGGCTGTAGCCAGTGTGTCACCGTCTGGGGCTTCTGCTCCAGCGGCAACTCAATGCCACGTTGCAGCCAGCCTGCCTGGAGATCTTGGCTTGCTCATGCTGCCGACAGCAGATGCTGCCGAGCAAGTTAGGGTGTCCTAGAAGACATACAAATGTGTGGAGAGGGATAAGTCACGGGCATTAGAGATGATGATAGTGAACTCCATGCTGGTGCCCTGTGAGTGCTGGGTTTACTGGCACCGGGATCTGGGGTTTGGCTGGGCTGGGGTGTCTCAGCAATTTGCAGAGGGCTGAGTGGAGGCAGCAGCATCTTTATGGAGCTGTGCAGGGCCCAGATGGGAACCACAGACGACAAAGAGTCTGCCCACAAGTGCGGCCTCATCTCTTGGCGGCCAGACCCTTTGCTCCCCCAGAGCTGATGAGGTGCTGGTGGCCATTGCTAGTACCTTCGAGACGCCTCTGGCTGCATGCAGGTGCCCTGGGGCTGCCCAGCTCCTGTATGCCCTTCCCGGTCCTGCCTCAGACCTGCTGCCCTGGAGTGACCCAGCTGTGGAGAGAGACCTCCCTGGCCACTGGACACTCAGCCCTGCAGCCCCAGGGCAGCTGCCTGGACAGTCAGGCCCAGGCCACATGGGTGGTAGAGGAGGCCAAGAGGTACTGCAGAGGCTGGACAGAGAGGCTTTGTGCTCGGGACACAGGTGACGGGAGGCAAGTCTCCAGGCCAGATCCAGTCAGTGGGGCCTCAGGGAACGTTCTCATGGAGGTCCAAACCTGGTGGTCAGAGCTGACGCCACTTGGCAGCATGGCCTAACACCTAAATCTGGAGAGTGTGAACTAGGCCTCCTGTGTGAACTGGTTTGCACTGGCTTGAAAGCATGGGATTGGCGGTGGATGGAATCCTGAGAAGGCTCACAATAGGTGCAGCTGGGTCCACACTCACTGACGAGTCAGGGAATGGCACGCCATCTCTGCCTGTGCTGGCCTCTGGGCTGGCGTGGGTCCCTCGCTCTCACTTGGAGGCCTGCTCGTGGCCAGGAGTGGCAGGGCTTGCTTCCTGCCCATGTGCCCACCCAAGGGTAGCCTCTCCTTCTAGCTTGAGCTGAGCCTGCCTTGACCAGTTTGCCCAGAACTTTCCCGCTTTTAGCACGCAAGGTCCCTGTCCTGGAAACCCTTAGTCCCAGAAAACCAGATGGTTGGTCACTGAGCCCCAGCAAGACCAGTGGCTGACCACCGGGGCCTGGATGTAGCCAGGGTTTGGGGGGACGTGGGACTATCTGATGGTCCCACAGAGATGGAGGGGACTGGGCAGTTGGGACTAAGCCTGCACAGTCCCCCGGTGCAGGGGGATGAGGATGCCTGACACCCTGGCATCCAGAGGCCCTGATCACATGTCTCAGGGTAACTGGATGGTGAGGAGGCTGGAGTTTGCCGTGGATGTCATGCCTCTGCTGGGCCAGCCCTGCCTGGTATGCTCCAAATGGTGGACACCTTGCTCTACTGGCATCAGGGACACACGTTTCAATCCCGAGGACCACAGCCTGGGCTACTCAGGCTGTGTCCAACATGGGAAGCCCCAGAGTCCATACCCAGCAGTTTCCAGACAGTCCCACCACCCCTGCCCTGGTGAGGACCCCCCATGATGTCACCGTGCTGCCACCTGCCGCTTCCCAAGGGGAACTGCCCCTGTGCTGTCTGTGAACACCAGGCATGGGGCTGCTGTCTGTCAGCCTGGACAGACACATGCCTTCTGCACTTGGGGAGAGGCCCCGCCTCCACACACACTGGCCCACGGCCCAGGGCAGTGGCCAGAACTCCCAGAGCCTGCTTCCTGCTGCAAAGGACATCTGGTGAGGTCATAAACCCTGGGCTGCTGAGAAGGGCTGACACTGAGTCCCAGGTGGTCACCTGTTGTCCCTCACTGGCTTATGCATTGGCTTCTTGTCAAAAAGAAATCTTACAAATAGCAGCAGAATGTCTGGTCAGCCGGGCACCTGTCACTCCTGACGTGGGGCCCACCTGTGAGGACCCAGGCCAGGGTTCTCGGTACCCTCCTCCTCTCCCGGGATGGCTGTTTTCACCCGTGGACACCAGGAGCCCTGGGCCTTGTGTCTCGCTGACCCACACTGGCTGCTCCTGTCCCAGCTTTGCTCAGAGCCCGTCTTACCACATACTGGCCAGGTCTGACCCACCCATCCCTCCCTTTTGCTTCACTAACTTTGTGTTGCCTTTTGTCTGTTGCCCTGTAGGTGTTTGTGTGGACCCTTCAAACCCCTTCTCAGTGGGACAGGCCATGAAAGGCTCTTAGCCAGCTAAGCAGAGCACAACTTCAGTCCTGAAGGAAATGAAGTGTGCTAGGAGAAGTTGGCTCAACTCAGATTTAAAATTACACGAAACAGCAGCCCTTGACCTCAAGTGTGGGTGGCACAGATGGCGCTCTGTGGCCGAGAGGCCAGCTAAAGGGAGACAGTTATTTCAGCCTTTTTTGAGGTTTAGTACTTCCTGCTTGGACACTTTTGGAAGTACAGGAAGCACATGAGGTCCAACTAAGGGATGGTGCCTCCAAAACCTTCCCTGTCCAGGAGAGCGCCCCCAAGGGGCCAGGCACCTTCCACAAGGCAAAGGGACCCGGCAAAGACCCACCCAGACCCGGGAAGAGCCTTGCTGCCGTGCTAGGAAGCTTGGCAGTGCCCCTGATGTCACCTTCCTGAGGAAAAGGTCCTCGCAGCTTACCCGAAATGATCACCTTTCAGGCAATGGCCGAGGCTATGATCCACAGCAGTCACCTGTGCAAGCAGAAGAGAAAACGGGAGCAAGAACGCGTGAGCAGGAAAACTCCGAACACCAGCCTGTCGCGGGTCTCCTGGAGGCTCCCGAGGGGCTGCATCTGCAGCCCTGTGGCATGGGCGGGGGTACAGGGTCAAGGCCCCCACGGTGGGGCTGGGACCCAGGAGGTGAGCCTGCCCGGGCTCCGCACTGGCCAGCAACAGCCCCAGCCACAGGGACTGGCCCCAGCCTATTGGAGAGCCAGAGGCCTCTCCTCCCAAGGTGCTTGAATGGCGGACACAGCTGTGCTGACCTCCTTCCTGAAGAGCTAACGTGGGCGCCAGTGCGAGTCCCAGGGTGCTGGCCGTGGGCTCGGTGCTCCTCCCAGTCGGGGGCATTGCCCACCTCCTGTGTCTGGCTACATGAGAGGTCTGCTCGTAGGGAGACGTGCAGAAGGGAGGTGGGCAGTGTGCAGGACGGTGCCCGCGGGGCCAAGCTGTGAGCTGTGAGTCCCCCCCCCCCCCGATGACCTCTCTGAGCCCTGACCACCCCAGGGGCTTGCAAGGAGACATCTGCTGGAGTAAACCCTGCACCGGTTCAAAGTCCTGCCTGTGAGTGCTGTCGCGGGTTTGCAGGGCTGAAGGCGAGCTGGACGTGTCTGCTCCCAGGAGCTGCAGCCCAGGGCAGGGCCCAGCTCCCGCCCAGCCCAGCTCCCTAGCACCATTCTGACCACCACTGAGGATGGCATTGGCTTCCCTCATGGGGAGGGACTGGGCCCAGATGAGACTTTGTCAGGGTGGAGGTGGGGGCCAGGGAGGGTACAGGAGGGACAGGCTCTGGTCAGTGGGTCCTGCCCCCCGAGGACCCTTGAATCCCTGCCTGTAACCTGCCTGTGGCTGCAGAGCTTGGGGGCCCTGAGACCCTAGAAAAGGTCAGAAGGGACTGTGGGGTGGGTAGGCTGGGCAGTTGCCAGGAGAGGAGACTGCGGACATTCAGTGGCGGGTCACCCAGGGAGATGGCAGCCGCTGCGCCCGCCCTCAGCTGGGCTTGAAAGAAGTGAGAACAGCAGAATTCCAAGACTCCGACAAAAGGGCTTCCTGTTGACACCAGCCGACTTTAACTCCTTTCTGCTCTGCACCCCAGTGCTGGAGCCTCTCTGGGCGCTGTGCCCCGAGGACGGCAGCCCGACCATAAAAAGGGAATTGTGCCATTGGCCTCCAGCCCTGCGAGTTGTTTTTTAAAAATTGGGCTTGAAATCCAGATCCTGCCTCCCAGCACCAGGGCAGCCTAGAGCACCCTGCAGATTTCCGGATTCGCACACTCATTCACACACACGCATGCACACACGCACTGCAACACCAAGGGAATCCTGGGAAACACGCACCTGAGGGACTGGCCAGGACCAAGGGAAAATCCCCATTTTTCTCTCAGTAAGCACGTTTAGTCTCAGAATGAAGAAGCATGATTCAAAACATTTAAATTAGCTCTCTAAGCTCACTTGTACTCTTTTCCGTCTGCACACACGGGGCAGCAGGCAGGTGGCTGCTCAGAGACGGGGGCGGGTGTTGGAAAGAGCCACGTGCAGCCGCTCCCCCTCCCCCTCAGAAGGGACGCCCCACGCATCCTGCGCTCTGGGCCCCTGGGGAGCCCCCAGAGACAGAAGTCCCCTGGGTTTTACTGGGATTTGTTCCCCCAGTCTGGCGTGCAAACGTCTCACCACTGAGTAGCTGCTGCTGGCCTCCCACTGGTTTGGGCCGGCGCCGCGTCCCTCCCGCAGCGGGTCCCAATGACTCCGTGGGAGGGAAGGCAGCCAAGACCCCTCACGTGCAGCCATGACACAGGCTGCAGAGTGGTCGCCCCGAGGGAGGGCAGGGACGGTGCCCTGTGGCCTTGTAGCTGAAAGCGCCCTCTGCAGGCCCTCCAGGAGCACGGCACTGCGTTCGGCTCGCCGTTTCCCTAGGGAGGGACGGCTCTAGAGGCGTCCGCTGGGCCTGTCCCACCGCGCTACCCTTGCTCCGCAGGTCAGGGAACCAGTTGGGATTCTGCCGGCTGCTGAGGGTGCCTATTCCAGTGAAGCGTTCTGGAACTGGGGAAGTAACAGGCGCTGGCTTGGGCACACAGGACCCCACTGTGCAAGGCACTAGAGCTAAAACCCCATCGATTCCCTGAACTCACAAGCCGCCTCTGACTGTGGACACAGACATTGTGCCCCGGGGGTCGGTGTCAGTTCAGAGCTGTGTCCAGTAGCACCCTGAGAGGCCTGATTATTTCATTTTCCCCATGTACATTTACTCTGGTAAAAGGCTACAAGTCCCTCTGGGGAAGCCTGGGAGAAAGAGTAATAGGATGAACTCTCAGTAGTAGACCAGAGTCCTTACTCAAGGGGCCCGGCCTCCCCTGGGTCTGCACACTGGCTCCACCTGGGTGCTGGCTCTCGTACCTAGTCTAGTCTGGGTCTGCCCCCTGGAATTGATTGAGGGGAGTGACTGTTTTTATGATTCAGGGTAGACTTTTGTTTGCTCGACCTAGAACTTCTCTGCTTGTACAGATCAAGTAAGAATCCAGTGGCTTGTTTTTCATTTAACTTCTGCAACGTCCTGAACAGCTAGTCAACTAGCAGCATCTGGGGACACGGGGAGCAGTTTCTGGGGACACGGGGAGCAGCATCTGGGGACATGGAGAGCAGCTTCTGGAGACACGGGGACACCATGTGGGGACACAGTGAGCGGCTTCTGGGGACATGGGGAGACCGTGTGGAGCACCAGTCTGCTCCCCACCAGGCCCCAAGCACTCTCTGCAGACAAAATGGCTTTTGCCAGCAGCAAGGAAGGCACAGGGTGGTCACACCCCTGGGCTGCCCTTCCTGCTGAGCTGCTGGCCAACCTAAGGGTGGGCTCCATGCAGCCTCATGCCTGGCTATCCAGCTGGAACTTGAAGCCTGTGCCCAGCTGTGGCCGTCACAGTGACAGGCGGGAGCCCTAAACTCCAGCGCGGTGGCCAGCCACTTTCCTCCTCCTACTTTTCTCTGACGCAGAGACAGCAAAACTTGCCAGCACATTAGGTAAGGAGGTGTCCAAGTGGAGGTTATGGGGTTGAGGCTGGCTGGCTCTCTCCTGGCTGTTTCTCATATTGTAATCACATGTTGCTCACTGCAGTTGCTAAATGTTCAATTACAAGCATTTGCTTGGGATGCATCATTTGACCACAATTACAGTAATAATGTCCCTGTAAGAAGGTCAGCAAAAATGGGCTCAGAGGGAAAGCAGTGTGGCAGAAATGACGTGGAGGCTGGGGTTGGGTGGGAAGACATTGGGTCCACATGAACAACAGGGGCCAAGTGGAGGGCAAATGTTCTGGGGTATTTTTCAAATGCCAAAATTTCCTGGGCATGTTTGGGAAATACTTTCAATCCTTTTCTGGAAGTGTCCTGTTTCTAGTGGAGGAACCGATTCTGCAATAAGCAGATCCAGGGAACTGGTCACTTTGAATCACAGAATGACCATCAGTATACATTCAAAAACCTCAAGGATGGGCAGGAAATAAAAGCGTTTTCAGTGGTTGGGCTGAGTGGTTCAAAGAACTCATGCTGTGGGGAGAGGCCCGAACCCTGCTGAGCCAGAGGGTGGCACCTGTGCTGAGTCAAGCCTTATCACACCCACCTGGCACAAGGCTTCGTGTGACGCTATGAACTCTACATCGAGCATTGAGACCCCACCCACTTTGCAGGTAACTGAGACTCAAAAGCAGGCCCTGACCCACGGTCGTGTAAACCACACCAGGGAGGGGCCCTGGGGCCAGGTCCATCCTCCACCCACAGGGACTGCGTGTGCCCCAGCTTTCAGAGGCTGGAAAAGGGCATCCAGCCCCACACACCCCACCCCTAGCCAGACCCCTTCCTCAGGTGCTGATTCCTGCCAGCTATAAACATTCTCAGGTCAGATGCTGGCCTTGGAGCCCACAGATGCTGTCCTCTCCTAATGCAGAGGCTGCTGTGGGGGCGGAGGGGGGTCCCTCCCTGCCGGGCTGCATCCTACCTCCTCAGGCCAGCCTGCGTCGGGGACATGGCCTGGGACTTATCACAGAGATGGGCCAGAGGCATGTGGTCAGCGCTTCTTGTGTGGGTGACAAGTGAAGATTTGTATGAATGGCAGACAAATGAAGGTGGAGGTGGACCCGAGTCTGGGCCACGGAGCCCGCCACATGCTGCAGCGTGGACCCGTGGGGTGGGAAGGCAGTTTGAGTGGGCGAGTGACCTGCATCCCACCCCCTCCACAATGCCCACCTTTGAGGCACACAGGGTTGCCCCATGGAGCCCTGGGAAGTCTGGGGGCAGGACAGTGAGCCTGGCCCCCTTGGCTGTCACCCAGGGTGGGGAGGCATCCCTGGGTGACCAGTTTTGCCTTCATAACTCCAGGGGGTTCTGACCTTGAGCTTGGCCACCAACAGCCCCTCAGTGAGCAGAGGACTGCGGATGCAGGAAGCACCCAGGTTTTGCTCAGATGTCAAGATGCCCACCTTTCCCACTGCAGGTGGTGGGTGGCGGGGTGACCCCTTCCTAGGACCAAGCCCACTGGAAGCACCACCCAGCCATCTGTGGACTGCCACATGGGAGGATCCACAGCTGTGACTGGCAACATGAACTTTTGGTTCATAGTCGACCCTGAGGTGGATTCTGTGGTCCCGGCCAGCTCTAGAGGTTGAAACAGGGCAGGGTTCTGGGCAGCCTCAGGCAGCCACCACCCACTCATCCTGCTGTCCCTAGTACCAAATGTAACATGCGCTCCAAGAGCCTGACACCACGGGCACAGGGACCCCATCTGTAGGGAATTTCATTTGCAGATGGCTTTTCAGGACCAGGAGGGAGTCAGTAGCCCCGCCTCACCAGGTGCAGGGGTGCCCAGGAGGTGGGGAGCATCTCTGGAGCATAAACCTCCCCAGCAGCTGAGTGACTCCACGGGAACCAGTTCTGCAGCTATGGCCCCACCCTGTGGTGGGCAGCTCATCAGGATGAGGGAGAGCTGGAAATTCCTGCTTCAGGGACCCACGGAGGCACCTGTGTCACCGGAAGGGAGGGCCTGTCACAGAGAGCTAGGTCGGACCCCCAAAAGATCCCATAGGGTTGTCCCAGGAGCACTGCCGGGCACACAGGATTGCCTCAACTTTAATTAACAGACTTACTTTTTTAGGTTTACAGGAAAACGGAGAAGACAGCACAGAAGGCTCCCACATATTCCCTACCCCCACATTCCCTATTATTAACAGCTTGCACTAGTGTTTATGACCATCACAACTGATGAGCCGATGCTGATATGTTAACCAGGGGCTGTAGTGTTCCCTCTTGTGTCGTATATTCTTTAGGTTTTGACAAATGCATGTCCCATATGTTTATTTGTGCTGTCTTAGGTTTAGGGAAGCAGGCATGGGTGCAGGTGGTGCTCCTGGCCACAGAGGCCTGAGCCTGGGACGAGAACTGGCTCTGGGCTTCCTCAGGGACAGACTTTCCC